CACGGTTCCCCTCGTGCTGTGTGTTTGGGATGCGTTTGCTGCATGCTCCTCTCTGTGCTGTCTGTGCCAGCTTGCTGCTTGTCTGCCACAGCAGCCACAGCTTTGCTGACTGTGCTCACAGAATGATCTTGTGATGAGATTAGTAGAAACATGCTACAGAATTCATTTTTTAACCAGACTTTTCTGTAACTGACTGTTGATACTAGCTTTACCTTAATCTCCAGTGGAATGCTTCATATATTTTTGAGCCAAAAGCTTGGTTTTCAGGTTTTCTCTCCCACCACCCTTCTGTCCTAAGGTGATTTTGGGGGATTTACTGCATTCTGGGCATGGCTGACATTTTTACTGGCAGGTTTTGGTTATGAATGTCTGTGTTTGCATTCTAAAATTGGGAAGAGCTTAGAAGGGCCAGACTTGGTACCGTTGCTGTCCTTAGTTTTAGAGGAGGTGAACTTGGTTGCTTCGTGTTTCATTCCAGTAATCAAGATTCATATGACATTTCAGCTGTTTCAGTTGCTTGAAATCATCCAGTTAAAATTCGAGTCTATAGCCCAAGAATCTGTGTCTAAAGATAGTTATAAATGTCCCCAGTCTCCTGTTACTGTTCAGTCTCAGATGCTGGGGGTATTTTTAGGTGCATCAGCTGCTTTGCTGCTCTGAGCTGCCTCTGGTAGCCTGCAGTGGCCGTTCCCTGCAGCTGCCCTGCTGAGCCCCTCCCGCTGTTGCCACAGGCAGTGGTGGTGTTGCTTTACCTGTAGGTGATGTTTTCTGACCAGAGCCAGGAATTTCTGTGTCTCATGCAATCCCTGGTTCACTCAGAACTGCAGCAGAACTGGCTTTGCTTCTGACAACTTTTAAACCGTTCCTTTCTCTGTCTCTGGGGATTTTTAAATTAATTTTTTTGCCTCCCAAGAGCAGGAATAGAATCTACAGGGCTTTGCAGTGGCTGAAGATCCTTCACATGTTGTAGCTGTTTCTTCCATGAGCTCTCCCACCACAGAACCCTGTTAGCCAAGTGGGGTCCCACAGAATGCTCTTACCTCTGGAATTAATGCTTTACTCGGGTTGAACACACGTTACTTTGAGTATATGTGAAGGGGTTTCATGGGAGACTGTTCTTACAGTTTTCTCCTGAATTACTCAGACATTCTTCATTTTGAGTCACACTCTCCTGTATGATCTCCAGTATAACTTGGATCACAGGAGGACAGCGTGCTGCTCTACATTTCATGAATAATTTACAAGGGCATGATTTAGATATATCAATATAGGGATATAAAAACCAGCCATGAGAAATACTTGACCGCCATTTTATTTTATTTTTTTCACAGGTGCTATTTCAAGTGGTTTCAGGCTGGAAGATTCTCCGTTTGTTCCTTACGACTTCCTGAACAGCAGTAACTCCCCAGCCAGTCCTCCCGGCTCCATTGGGGACGGCTGGCCCCGTGCCAAATCGCCTAATGGCTCTAGCAGTGTTAACTGGCCCCCAGGTACTGCCCTGCCCGGCCACGGGGGCACTGGGCTGTTCTCAGCAGATGGAAATGGAGAATGGCACTTCTATTGTACTGAGAGAAGTGTATCTGCCAGGGAAACCAGAAATTAAATGGACAAAGTGATGGCTAAGTCAAGTAAATTAAATGCTTAAAAGGTTTTGGATTTTCAGTCATTAGGAGATGTATTGTTTAGACAGACGTTTCCTTTTTAAAAGTGTAGTGAAAATAAGCTTCTTTCCTGCATCTGTATTCCTAGAGTTTCGCCCTGGTGAGCCATGGAAAGGTTATCCAAACATCGACCCCGAAACTGACCCTTACGTCACTCCTGGCAGTGTCATAAACAATCTCTCAATTAATACTGTGCGGGAAGTTGACCACCTCAGGGACAGGAACAGTGGTATGCTCAGCTGCTGGGGAGTCATGTGTGACCTTCCCTCTGCTCTTGTCATGTTTGCTGCTTGCTCCTCTCTGGTTTATCCCCTGTGCTCCCTCCTTGCTCCTCTCTGGTTTATCCCCTGTGTTCCCTCCTTGCTCCTCTCCTGGTTTATCCCTTGTGTTCTCTCCTTGCTCCCCTCCTGGTTTAGCCCTTGTGCTGTGGGTTTGGGATGTGTTTGCTGGGTGCTCCTCTCCTGGTTTATCCCTTGTGTTCTCTCCTTGCTCCCCTCCTGGTTGTTCCCTGCATTTGCTCCTTGCTGCCCTCACGGTTCCCCTCGTGCTGTGTGTTTGGGATGCGTTTGCTGCATGCTCCTCTCCTGGTTGTTCCTCTGTGTTCCCTCCTTGCTCCTCTCCTGGTTTATCCCCTGTGTTCCCTCCTTGCTCCCCTCCTGGTTTATCCCCTGTGTTCCCTCCTTGCTGCCCTCACGGTTCCCCTTGTGCTGTGTGTTTGGGGTGTGTTTGCTGCGTGCTCCTCTCCTGGTTTGTCCCTGGTGCTGTGCCTGCCAGGGCTGAGTGCAGGAGCTGTCCCAGGGTGAGGGCTGTGCTGCTGGTGTCAGTGTGCACGCCCAGGG